TCTACTTAGAAAACCCTGGAAAGGATTGCCATACTGTTGACACACAGTTGTTATTATTATTAAGCTTCATAGATTTTACCATCTGGCTACCTCCAAATCTACATAGCTATATTGGCTGACCTGGCAGATTTCGGAGTGCAATGCCCAATGGACAATTCAGTATCTCACTTTGGACATTTTGCTATGGGAACAAAGTATTATGTTCTAAGAGCACTTGACTAATTTAATTTAGTAACTAGTCAGAGTTAGAAATTAAACATTGCAAGCAGAATGGCTTCTTATCCTGGCTTCTCACTCAATGTAGTGAACCAGAAGGTTAGCTGTGCAATAATAATCATGCACCAGCACAGATTTACTGGACCTGGTGTTCTCCAGATATACTGGAGTGCAAGTTCTATCATCCCCAGCCAGCGTAGTAGCTATGTTTTCTGAGGATGAGGACGGTTTTAGTCCAACCCATCTAAAAAATAAGCCAGAGAAGATTGTACTTCATCCATGTCTGCTAGCAAATCAGACACCTAAATGTGAAGAATCTCTCAAGCATATATGTGCCTTTTCCTTGTAAGGGCAATGTGAAAATACAGTTATCAACAGCAGCCTAGAAACTGTGGTCTTGATTTAATGTAATTATAGCTCAGAAGCCCATTCTTGGGAATATATACTCAGCAGTGCACAAGGAAACAATGACTAGGTTTAACTTATTTGAATACCACACCGTATATAATGTTTGCTATTTATGTTAATTGTATGTATAGTACTTTAAATGATCTAATGAGAAATTTTCTCTCTTTTCCCCCTATCTATCTTTCTGCGATCTGATTCTCAGCAGCGACCAGTCAAGCAGTCTTTGAGTTCCTCCATGTGCCGAGACTCCCAATGGAAGTGCCTCCTCCTCTCCATTCTTATGTATGGCTGCCTGGGGGCCGTAGCTTGGTGCCAAATCACACAAGTAACTAAGCTCAGCTTTGATAGTTCTTTCAAAGGCAAAACTATGATTTACCATGACAGCCCTTGCTCTGATGGATACATCTATATCCCGTTAGCATTTCTCGCTATGCTTTATGTGGTCTACTTGGTGGAGTGTTGGCATTGCCGTGCCAAAAGTGAACTTCAGTACAAGGCTGACGTTGAAAGTGTTTACGACCGGATCGCCAAAATGAAGCAGGCTACGCCATGTATATGGTGGAAGGCCATAAGCTACCACTTTGTCCGACGAACCAGACAGGTGACTCGATATCGCAATGGCGATGCTTATACAACTACCCAGGTCTACCATGAAAGAGTGAACACCCATGTGGCTGAAGCTGAGTTTGACTACTCTCACTGCGGATTCAAGGATATCTCTAAGGAGCTGATGGGCTTGGAATTGTTTTCAGCTACAAAACTAAAATTCACCAAATGTTTCAGTTTTGCTAACACAGAGTCTGAGAACTCTTACCTGACACAGAGGGCTCATTTCTTCACCGAGATTGAAGGGCTGGATGACTACATGGAGATCAGAGAAGGAATGAAACTCAAGAATGTAGACTTCAAAGAACTCATGATGGCATACGG